GCTTTTGGGGACCGGTTTGAATATCATGATAGTCACTTCCAGAAGTTACTGCGGTTGATTGATGAGACGGTGTACCTCCAGGGAACTATTTGGAACCAGGTACAGCTTGTATGATTTTGATTTTAAACATATGAAAACAATGGGAAACCCCCAGCAGTTTCACTGGAAACAGGGCTGAGTGTGACAGTGTTGTCCCAGATTCACTTCTACCATAACCTGATTGTGGCATCCATGCTCTGTTTCCCAACAAATCTCTCTCCACCTCAGTTCCCCCTCCGGCTAGTCTCTTTCACCTGGCCCCCCTGAAGGTATCGTGCTAGGTCCTCAAACCTGACTTCTCTAGACCACTGCCGCCACCCCACAGGCACTTAACGTGATCTCTAATGGGGCTGACAACCCAGTGGGCTGTTTCAGTGGGCATCAGGGAGGTGTGCGTAGGAGAGGGGAAGAAGAAAAGGTGCCAAATCCTCACTGCTCCCAAGCAACTCCCTTCCTTGCTAACACACTGTGCATTAGACTCTGTGCTCAGGGGAGGGTTGGCTCAAGGATCTGTGTGGCAGGGGTAGATCCGCTGGATACTCTTGCGGCAGTGAGGATGGCAGGGTGTCATTACGCAACAGGACTGGTGGGAGGTGACCCCCGGAGGCAAGGCCAACCTACTGTCAAGGTCAAGGGCTCGTCCAGCTGGCAGCGTCTTCAGGTGGCCCCATTTGCAGGGACAAATCACTGTGTTTCGTAATGGTGATGGCTCACTGACACAGGCCCTGAAAACAGGGGGAAACATGGTTTCCAGGGACACAACATTGTTACCCAAAGCTTGTTGGACCTTTCTCCTCTTGTTACCTCCCAGTTCAGCACAGCGTAGTGGGTGAGATGAGACATAATCCTGCTACTGCAGCAGCGATCATGTTGAGAGGCAAAACACAGTGCCTGCGTCTATCTGCTCATGGGGCTGGGACCAGGCAGTCTCCATGTATTTTACAAACCCTCCATTACCAAAGTCTAATCTCCGATAAAAACTGTGGTAACATCAATATTATCAACATGTGTCGGAATGTGAGGCCAGATTCTGGCGTTGTGACCTTTATATCCTTCCTCACTTGTAAATCAGCAAATCATTAACAGGGTGGCCATTCAGCCATCTGAAGTAGCTACTAACACACTGCCTCAGGCAATACAGCACATTTTCCTGTAGGGGGGCACCAAAGCAATAGGATCAGGAGCTGGTGGCCAGGCCAGCAGTCACAGCAGCGGCCTGAGAGAAGACAGTCCGTATCTTAATGAGAAAGAATGGGCTTGTGGTTAAAACGCTGCACTGAGACTCAGGACACCTAGCTTCACTTTCTGGCTCTGTAACAGATGCCTGTGCGGTCTTGGCCAAGTCACTTAATCTCTCTCTGCCTCAGTTCTCACTCTGTAAAATGGAGAGATTTCCTTTCTCTCACCCTCTGCCTGTTCTGTCTCTTAGAATTCTAGGCTCCTCAGGTCAGAGTTGACTGTTATGTATATGTAAAGTGCCTACCACACTGGGGTCCTGACCTTAGTTGAGATTAATGTGGTTTGATAAATGCAGTGTCTTCAGCTGAATGCATGTGGGTGTATTAAACCGTCAGATGCCTTTTTCTAAAACTAGGCTAAAATGTACTGTGTTCTGTTTGTATGTCAAAAGCTGTATGACTCCTTCCCGACCATAATGAAGTGGATACCTGGACCCCATCACACCATTTTTAAAAACTGGGAAAATATGAAGTGTTTTGTGGGGGAAATGATTGCAAAGCACAAAGAGGACTGGAATCCATCTGAACCCAGAGACTTCATTGACTGTTATCTGAAGGAAATAGCAAAGGTAAGAGAGCAAAGAATAAAGTGAACAGGAACAAACCACTTCTGTGTTTTAAAAATTAGAAGTAGAATGACAGTAACAGGGCTCACCAGTTGAGTTCTCTGAGCATCTGACCCTCCATTAGTTATCAGTTAGAAACCCCAGGTAGGATGGAACTGATTCAGCAAAGCCTTTAAGCACATGTTTTCCTTTAATCAGCGAGAGCAGGTTCGCTGAAGTCAGTGGGACTACTCGGATGCTTGAGTGCTTTGTTGAATTGGGCCCTAAAAATGTAAGGTTACCTGTGCTTTAGGAGCCAGACCCAAAGCCAGATGAAGTGCATGGGAGTCTTTCATTGACTTCACCAGGCCCTCTGCTCAGACCTAAAATCAGCTCCAACTTTTCACTCTCAAGAATGATGCTAAAAGCACAGTCTTTCTCTCTAATGGTGCTGTCCTGGCGCCCTCAACTCTCACCAAAGGCAATGGAAATTCAGGGCACCCAGCACCTTGCACAATTGAGCCTGGAATGATGTTTCCATGGCTTTGTATAATAGTAATAAATATTGTTGTAGTCCCACCCACATATATCTTTGTTCTAAGGCCGATGCCGACCCTAGTTTCCATGAAGAAAATCTCGTATTTTCCACACTGGATCTTTTTTTTGCTGGAACTGAGACAACGTCTACAACCATCCGCTGGGCTCTGCTGTACATGGCCCTATATCCTGACGTTCAAGGTAAATGGTAATGGTTTATATTTCTAATCTCTTAATAGCTCTTCAATTTCTACCCTTAACCCGTGCCACATCGGGGACTTTTCACAGAACTCAGAATGTTGATTTATGAAATCTTTGTGCAAATGTGCTTTCTACCCACAGTAATCATTTTTCCCCACTCAGAAACCCTTTCTTTTATTGGAATTGTTTCTTTTTTCTGCCCTCAGTTACACCTCCAGCAACTACTGCAAGGGCATGGAGTGCAATCCACAGCTGCAATACCCTTGATTAAAGAGGAAGCTGCCCTTGCGGCTAATTAACAGCACTGGGACTCAGCATACCCAAGTGCTAGTCCAGGCTCTACCTCAGACTTTCTGTGTGACATTGGGAAAATCATTTAATCCTGTAAATGTGGCTTATAGATTTCTAAAAGGTGTTCCTCGGTCAGTGTCCTCTTCAGCCTTGAGATTTAACACAGAGAGGCTCCAAGGGGGACCAATATTGAAAATAATGGCAGATATAATCTGCTTCATTTAATGCAAAATAGGTGCGATCCTTGGACTCTTTGCAAGCTGCTGGAATAACCCTGTGCCCAAAAAATTTGAGTCTTACCTCACAGAGAAAACCAGCGGATAAATATTTTCATGCTCCAATATCTCTTGGGTCAGACCAGTAATTGATTTGCTATTTTGAACAGGGACAAAATACGTATTGATAATGCCTTTACATTTGATTTTGAGAAGTGCAGTAAACGCCTCTTGCCTTCCATATTGGTATTAAAGGAGGTCTTCCTATTATGCCTAAATTACACTTTAAAATTCCTCTCACCTCCTTACCACTGCATTTGTCTCAGGCTAACCAGCAGTAGTTTTCTTATGTATTTGTATGTTCAGATCTCTACATTACTCACTTATGCTGTTTCCAATGCTTGAATCGAGCTTTATTAGGTATAGCCTTAAAATCAATGAACTCTAAACTCTGCACAACTTAAGTCTGTTGTTTCAAGAACGTATTATTCTTGGAACAATAATGAACTCTGCTCTTTTCACAGAGAGAGTGCAAGCAGAGATTGATGCAGTGATTGGCCAGTCTCGCCAGCCAGCCATGGACGACAGGAACAACATGCCATACACCAATGCAGTTATTCATGAAGTGCAAAGGATAAGCAACATCGTGCCTTTCAGTGTGCCCAGAATGGCAACTAGTGACACAACACTGGCTGGATTCTGTGTGCCAAAAGTAAGCTGGACAGAAATGTAGTTTTCACTTCTTATCTTGGTTTAAGAAATTAATAGAGATCAGCCCAAACCAAAGGCCCAGATAGAAACACCTTCACACCCCGGAGGACCCAGTTCTGAATCGGAACCCATTTCGGTAATCAACCCAGATCCAGAGCTGCATTTTACAGGTGGCCCCTATTTCTATACTGGGCTAAAATTCCTTAACCAAAACCTTGGATGCTCACATTCTCAAGCTTTGAGGAAGTCGAAATCTAGATCAGAATTTTGCAGTCTATCTTCATAAAACGAGATGTAAATTATTTATTTTAATTGCATGAAACCATAGTAAAAGGACTAAGAAGTAGGTCCAGCACAAGTTCACCACTGTGGCTATTGATTCATGAAAGATCAGCCAGGTTCTTGGACGCAGAGACTTAAAGGTATTCAGGCACCTAAGTCTATTGGAAATCAATGGGAGTTATGTGCCTAAATACTTTTCAGGGTCTGGGCCTTTGGTGTCTGCAGATGGGAGCGGCTGCTGCTTTTGACGGGTGGGGCGTATCTCATCTTCAGCAGCTCCAGAATTCTGAACTGCTTTCGTCTCAAGCTGCAGCATTTCTGACTCCACCTAACCGTGCTGCTGAGCCACAATTTCTCCCCATGGAAGGGAGCAGGCTGGAATTCCTACCCCAGCGTTCCCGGAGTATGTTCAGCGGAAGCTCTCCTCAGGTCCTAACACATGGGCGCATTCTTCTTCTCCAGCCTGTGGACTGATCCTCAGTGAAATGGGGACAAACCCAGGCTCAAGGCCAGTGAGCTCATTCTGGAGCTCAGGCAGGCAGAGGACCATTCTACCAGCAAGTGTGTCGCAGGAGACCATTGCCTGTGGCAACCTTCCATTCTGCTGACAGTAACCCTTCATTAATATAACTTACGGGAAATGTTTGTACACAGTAGCAGGGGGAGAGTGCATTATATCTGCAGATAGCAATTAGGAGTCCAAAGAAGTACTTTAGCTCACACGAGTGTTAGTTTGCAGGAGCACTTGCTGGATTTGCCTAGAGGTATATACTATACACATATACATCATTTGAGGCCAACAACCACCACATCCCTGAAAATTTGGCCCTTAAAAAAGAAAGGTGGGTGGATGGGTTGTGCTTCTTTTTGACACTTTATGCTGTATAAAGAATGCCTGAGAGTTTCTATTTTTTCTGCTTGTTTTTTTTATTAGAAATTCAACCTTGCCTACCCTGTTTTTCCTAGGAGATGCAGGAGAACTAGTAGGTGTATAACATCACACCTGTGAAGGAAACGAACCTGTTTAGTTGAGATGGGAAGTGATTTTTAGTCACACTGGTGTCCATTTTTGGTTTGTTTGTCTGTTGTGATATTAACACCTGTTTAACTCAAATTCTTAAAAACCGGTTGGAAGAAAAGCTCTCTTTCTTCAAAGATTAACACCCCGCACCTTCATCTAAAGTCTGTGATGGCTCTCATTCTTCTCTCTCTGGGACCTCCAGAGACACTACCAGCAAAACCAGGGAAAGCCAGATTTGAAATTCTAGATAAATTTAAGGTAAAGAACTGGCTGGAAAATTGTCCTTTTTGAAAAAAAAACATCCTTTTGTGCCTTCTTTGTACATCATAAAAGATTAAATTGAAAGGCATGACCCCTTCTTTTTTGCCTCTTTGCGGGTCACAATTTAAAAATGGAATCAGGGAAGGTTTAAATTCCTTTCTTTCTCTTTCTTTAGGGCACCGTTTTGATTCCCAATTTGACATCAGTGCTGTTTGACAAGAATGAGTGGGAAACCCCTCATACTTTTAATCCTAAGCATTTCCTGGAGGATGGTCAGTTCAAGAAGAGAGAAAGTTTCCTGCCCTTCTCTGCAGGTGAGATGTGTCTGACTCTGTCCATTTGCACTATAGCACCAAGTCTTGGCCTCTCTCCTTTTTCTGTTTAGAAAACTCCCCACAGCATTTATTAGTGACAGAGGCACAATGGAAAATGGAAAGCTCAGAAATGAAATTCATGGCCAGAATTTGTGTCCCAGGGTTCCAGCTTGTGCAGTTTTTTCATAGGTAGAGGGCATGTGATTCTTGAGCAAGTGCTCTCTCCTAGAACAAGGCTCGACACAACAACAGGAAAGAGTGGCCTCAGTTCTGCTACCCTTATCGGTATGTGTACACTGGAGATGAAGGTGTAATTTCTTGGTGGGGGTGATAAGCCCATGCTACCTCGGAGCGAGCTAGTGCGCTAAAAATAGAGGTGTAGCCATGGTGGTGCGTGCAGCTGGATGGACTAGCCATCCCGTGTACACCCCCTTCCGAGACCTTCAGAATATACTTGGGTGGCTAGCCGCTCATGCCACCACGGATACATTTCTAGTGTTAGTGCGCCAGCTCCAGTGTAGACATGCCCTAAGGTGGGCACAAAGAGAAAGTAGCCTGCGTCACTTGTTGGGAATGTAGGAGTGAGGACAGAAGGAATAGCGCTCCTCACCTTTTACCGCTTCCTTTCACTTGTAGGGAGAGTCAGCAAGGGGAATAAATATGGTAAAGATGATAAAAGATGTGGGAGATCCCTGAAGCAACCTCATAAAAACCAATCAACCTCTAGAACATTTTACCATAGAATGTGGTGGATTCTCCATCACTTGGACTCAATAAGGGCTGATCCCACACAATTTAAATCAATAAGAGCTTTAGCATTAAGTTCCAGAAACAAAAATGCGCGTGAATCAAGGATTCACAGGTTTGCACAAGCCTTGTTTATATACAGGTCTATCAGGGCTTTCTTGCAAATGAAAAGAACAAGCAATATTAGTATCCGCTGTGTGTGGCTAAGGAAAGTATGTAATACCTTTTTCTTTTAAAGCGGTTTATCTAGAAACTAAGGGTATGTCTATACTACCCACTAGATTGGCGGGCAGCGATCGATCCAGCGGAAGTCCATTTATCGTGTCTAGTCTAGACACACTAAATCGACCCGCGAGTGCTCTCCCATCGACTCCTGTACTCCACCTGCGTGAGAGGTGCAGGCGGAGTTGACGGGGGAGCGGCAGCAATTGACTCACCGCACTGAAGACACCACAGTGAGTAGATCTAAGTACGTCGACTTCAGCTATGTTAGTGATTCAGGGACACACAGCTCCCTTCTTTAGTAATAATGCTGACTAGACGTGCATGTGTTCAGCAGGCCATGTGTTATGTCATTGAGAAGCTAGGCCAGGGAAAGATTACACCCAGGGGCGGCTCTATGTTTTTTGCCGCCCCAAGCATGGCAGTCAGGCGGCTTTTGGCTGCGCACCTGCGGGCATTCAGCTAGTCACGCTGATTCGGTGGCATGCCTGCGGGAGGTCCGCCGGTGCCGCGCCTTCAGCGCCCCACTGCCAAATTGCCGCCGAATCCACGGGACCAGCGGACCGCTCGCAGGCATGCCACCGAAGGCAGCCTGACCACCGCCCTCACGGCGACCGGTAGGCCATCCCCCCACGGCTTGCCGCCCCAGGCACGCGCTTGCTGCGCTGGTGCCTGGAGCTGCCCCTGATTACACCTCATCTATGTAATTTTATTTTAACTTTTTAATCAAGAAATAATACAGCTACGTGTAGCTGAGAATGTTAGGGAAGTAAGACATCAGCTAGACACAGAAATTGTAGCGCTTTAACAATATTAATATACATGCCTCCTAGATTTCTGTCAGTTAGGTGTGTGATATTTTTTTAACCAATTTAAATTAAAACATCACAGCCTTTCTAACGTGGATGCAGTTATGGGAAGGGGAATAAGCTATACTGAGATTGGGCACTAGTATAAAGACATTGTTATATTGGTATAAAAATGTGTGTAGATCAGACTTTCAATAGCTATGCAGAGATGTGGTTGATCATCCAAGAGCTCTCAAACATGATTGTTTCTATTACTAGAAGGAATTACCGAAGTACTGTTATAATTAATGGTAGGTTTCAGAGTAGCAGCCGTGTTAGTCTGTATCCACAAAAAGAACAGGAGTAGTTGTGGCACCTTAGAGACTAACAAATTTATTAGAGCATAAGCTTTCGTGGACTACAGCCCACTTCTTCAGATGCATATGAATCTATGCTTATGCTCTAATAAATTTGTTAGTCTCTAAGGTGCCACAAGTACTCCTGTTCTTTTTGTTATAATTAATGTAAACCTTAGCATCCACTTCCATAAGGGAAGGAAAATTTAGTACTAAAAACAGGAAAAAGTGACTC